CCCCCTGGGGGATGATTTTTTTTTTTTTTTGAGGGGTTTATGCTATAGGGCACATGTGTCTGCCAGAACAAGACAGATAGAAAGCAAGAAATCACCCCCCAGGGGGTTTGGCCATGCTGCAATCCCTTCTCCATTTTCCTCTCAGGATCTCGGGCATGCACGCACACGTGCCCGGCCTGAGTTTAAGCCACCAGGTCCAGGACTTGAACCGCGGTCGACTACATGCAAAGGGTTATAATATGGCCTAAGATACTTTAGCTGACCGCATTTCTGTTAATTCTGGACCAAAGCTGGAGAGAGCTGTTACTTCATCATCACTGCGGTGGGACTGTCCGGACCAGAGAGCTGATCCTGTCATCTCCCAGCAGAGCTGTCTCCTCAGTAACAGAAGAGCCCCGGGGCCGTCCACCAGGCGCAGTCACTCTAGCCCTATGGAACTGATCTCCCAAGCCTTCTGGTCCGTCTGCTGCCTTGGCCTTTCCCACTGCCCTGCCTGACCGCTCTGGCCCTCTGCCGAACAAGTCCCCACTCGTCAGGCAGATGAACATTTTACGTGTGTGGATCTGAGCATGCCGTCCCGTACTTGTGGAGCCACTCTGATGGCTGCCCTCCACTCTTGGAATGGAGCTAAGTTCCCTTAGCACGGCCCGAAGCCCTCGTGGCCAGCCCAGCTGCGACCGCCGCCTCCTGTGCTCAGTACTCGGCCTGCTGGCCTGTCCCTGCACTCAGACTCACTAAGAACTTCTTGCCTCAGGGCCTTAGACGTGCTGTTCTTTTTTACGAGTTGTTTCTCTCAGGAGACAGAGATAAGGCCACATCCCCTCACCCCAGCCTTCCCCCCAGGCCAGGATTATCATGGGTGTGCACGCGGGCCGGGAAGGCACCCATCACCTCGCATGTGGACCTGGCACCGCGTGGCAGCACATCACTGCTGCGCCACTGAACTGACCGTGCTGCCCCTCCTTTCTGGAAAACTCCTATTTGCCTACTCACCAGCACGTTTTTTATAAAAAAAAAAGTATTTAATATTGTTGTTATTATTTAATTTGACAAGAGAAGGACAGAGAGAGAGAGAGAGAGAGCATGCCACTAGGACTGAGGTACGAACTGTGGGTGGCCACGTGAGAGTCCAGCACCTTCACCGCCACACCACTGCCAGCCCCCACACCAGCACTTCTTATCTCAGCTGAAGTGGCATCTCTTCAGGGAGGCCCTCAGGGTCCCACCAAAAATAGATTAGCTGTTCCTGTTCTGTGTACTTGCATTTTCTTCACAGTACTTGTTTTTTAAGATTTATTCATTTATTTAATTCCATTTGTTGTTAGTATTATTTAATATGACCAGAGATAGAAAAAGAGAAAGGGATACAGAAAACAAGCCGCCAGGTCCGGGACTCAAACTGCAGTGGGCCATGTGGGAGTCCAGCACCTCATCCACCACGCCACCTGCTGGCCCCTCACAGTACTTTTTTTTAAAAAAAATATTTTATTTAACTTTATTATTATTATTATTTTCTAATTTGATCAGAGAGAAAGAGTTAGAAAGCAAGTCTCCAGGTCTAGGACTTGAACCAGGTCCAGGACTCGAACCTTGGTCAGCCATGTGGGAGTCCAGTGCCTTTAACCACCATGCCACCTGCCGGCCCCCCCACAGTATGTGCTTTAATTGCAATGACATGTTCCGTGTTACTTGTGTAATTATCTGGTTAAGCTTTCCAGAGGCTGCAGCTGGATGAGGGCTGGGCTGTGGTCTCACTTGGTCTCCCACCCTCCAGGCAGAGCAGGCACTCAGTGGGCAGCACCCTGGATGGATGCAGGCGTTGACCTGGCCCTGCCTGCTCGGCCTTTCTCCCTCTGAGGACAGTGTTCCTGGCAGGAATATGGCGTGGGACTCCTTGGAATGCCGGCAGGCTGACCTCCGTGGGCCACCCTGCCTCAGAGGTCTAGCCACATCCATTTGGAAAAATCATGCATTTTGTTCTTTGAAGTATATGTTACAATTCCTAGGATTCATAGTTTCAAAATACTAGGTTTTGGATATTCACCAGCATTGGGAAGACTCCACAACAGACAGCAATTTGGAAACTGGCTGAGTCTCAGACGAGTCACATGGCTACTGAGGCAGGAGAAAGCTAGAGAATGGAAGCAGGTGAGGGGCCGGAGCAGCCGCTTGTGTGGCTAGACAGAAAACCATGAGGGCAGGGGACTCCCAGTGGAGGATGTCTAGCTAAGTAAGACACATTGGGTAGAGCCCGCTAGTGAGGTAGATCAGTGGGCCCAGCCACACTGGGTAGAGCCAGTGAGGTAGATCTGTGGGCCCAGCCACATTGGGTAGAGCCAGTGAGATGAGAACAATCAGTGGGCCCAGCCAATGATCAACTAACATGACCGAGAGTTTTAAAAAAGGACAAACTTCGCTGAATAACTGCCGAGGCCTTTTGAGCCGCTCTGTCTCTGTGCTCAGACCCGCCCCCTTTCTGGAGTGCTCCCCGCCTACTTAATGCACCAGCTTTCCCTCTTGCTGTCGGCGCGTTGTGTTTACTTCTTATCCGAAGCAGCAAGGACCTGGATAGCATCCCAGGAGCCATCCCATCCCACAGCCCTTCAGAGCTGGGGCACTGGGGCGGGCTCTCTTGGCCAGAGGACTTGAGGTCCCCTAGGGCCCAGCACCCCCTCACCAGAGCTGCTCTACCTGCTGTGGAGAGGTTTGCAAAATGGGGGTTCAGGATACACTCCTCCCCAAGGTCCATACAATAGTAGTTAATGCACAGTCTTTAGAAAATGGAAGGTGGGAAATTCCTTGGACCCTTACCTTCTAATTGCATCTAGTGATTTCATAGAAAAGTAATTCTTGCCAGTGTGCTTCCATTGCACATGGATTTTGGTGACAGACCTAGGTTTGAATCCTGGTTTCCCAGCTGTAAAATGGGGATGATACCTTCACAAGATTATTGGATGATATAAGTCCGCGTATGTGAATTTACCCAGTCTTCTTTCCTTTTTTCTCCACAGAGGTTCCCCTAAATACAGGGCAAGCTTGGGCTCTCTGACTCCCTCCTTTCTCCTCAGCTCTTGGAGCTAGACAACTCAGGCTGATCTCAAAACGCCCTGCACAATCTCCCTCAGACCTCTCAGAGAGGGCAGGGACGCAGTAAGTGCCTCCTGCCTGCCAGAGGCCCGACCATTTCAGGGTGCCTTTGGGCTGTATTTGTAAGACGATGTTTTCTAACAACCAGTTCTAAAGAATTTTTCTCCTTCTTAACCCCTGGTCTCCAAAGAAGCTGGAGGGTGTTAAGGATGGAACAGCAGTGGAGCAGCTTATTTATTCTTGACCAAAGAACAACTGTCTGAGGCCCTCTGCTCCCTTATGATCATGTGCCTTGCTGTAAACGTGGACCCCGTGCCCACCCTCAGTCAGTGCTGCCCACGACAGGCATATTCCTTGGGAATTAAAACAGAAGTGAACAGAAAGTATTCAAGGTGAACTTGAAACAAAAACAAGTTGCTTTAATATTAAACTTTCTGTTAGGTCTCCAACAGAGACAGTTACATAAACCTCAGAGAGGCTAAGGACATCTGGAATTTGCCTTTGAGGCTTTGTTCTGAGGACATGCACTTTTTTTTTTTAAATTTTTTTAAGAGAGAGATTTTTGCTATAGGGCACATGCACTCACTAGAGAGACAGAGAGACAGAAAGTGAGAGATCACCCCCCAAGGGAGATGACCACACCGCAATCCCTTCTCCATTCTCCTCCTGGGATTTTGGGCATGCATGCACATACACCTGGTGTGAGTTTCAAACTCCAGGTCTAGGATTCAAACCACGGTCAACCATGTGGGAGTCTACTATGCCACCTGCTGGCCCCATGCACCATTCTTTAAGAAGGTTAAAATACACATAAACTACACAACTACATATTGTGAACTTGACAATGCATGTTTTAATTTTAGTTACAAGAGTCTGAAACACAGAGGAACCCTTGTAGCCTATTCTTGGCCAGGCGGACAGGCAGACAGGTTAGACTAACTCCAATAGAACAATTTGTACTTTTTGTTCACACCCATTAACGATCAGTTCTTACCAAGTTACACATCCTCCTCCTCCTTCTATAAAATGAAAAACCGGGGACCAACAGATGGCGTAATGGCTATGTCACTGGACTCCCAAGTAGTCAACCATGGTTCAAGTCCTGGACTTGGTGGCTTAAACTCATGCCAGGCACGTATGCATGCGTGCCCAAGATCCTGAGAGGAGAATGGAGGAGAAGGGATTGCGGCGTAGCAATCACCCCTGGGAGGTGATTTCTTGCTTTCTGTCTCTTTGTCTCTCGGTGTCTTTCTGGCTAGCACATGCACCCTATAGCAAAAACCTCTAAAAAATAAATAAATAAAAACAAAGAAAGAAAAGAAAAATTGACGGACATATGTTTAGCTGCCCAACAATAGCATAAGAGGTGAAGCTGGGATTTAAACTCAGACCTTCTGCCTTAAATCCATTGGGAAAAAACGTCTGTGAATCAGCTCTCTCAGCTCCAGGCCTGAGCGGCCCTGGGAGCTATCTAATCTTCCTGGCACCATCACTGAGGAGAAACTGACCTCAGCGTGAGCACACACATTTCTGTGTGCGCTCCCCTAACTACTGGAGACTAAGCTGCAGACCCTACGTCTCCCACCTCTCAGTACTTCAGTAGGCATTCTTTCTTTCTTTTGTTCTTTTCTTAAGAATTTAAAAATTTTATTTCATTTATTATTATTATTATTTTAATTTTCTATAGGGCACATGTGCTCACCAAAGAGAGCCAGAGAGAGAGGGAAAATGACAAAGCAAGCTGCGAGGTCTGGGACTCAAACCATGATCAGCCCTGTGAGAGTCCGGCGCCTCAACCACCATGCCACCTGATGGTCCCTCCTTTTTTCTTTAAAGAATTATTATTTAGAAATTAATTTTGACCAGGACTTTTTTTAGAATGATATTTTATTTAATTTTATTTATTCATTCATTTAAATTTGACCAAACACACACACACACACGCACACACAGAAAGAGAGAGGGAGAGAGAAGGAAAGTGAGAAAGCAAGCCACCAGGTCTGGGACTCGAACTATGGGTGGCCCTAAAGAATTAAACCACAGTCAGCCCTGTGTAACCAGCATAGCACCTGCCAGCCATTAATAAGAATTCCCCAAGATCAGGGCCATTTGGCCCAGCTGTGCTGGTATAGGTGGTGGAACACTGCTGTGTGAAGCTGGAGCCATGGGGAGGCCTGGGTTTGAACCCTGGGTTGACCCAAATATGCAGGGCATGCCTGTGCATAGCAGTGACATGTAGGGCATGCCTGTGCATCCCAGTGATCCTGGCTGCCTGGAGGCCATGGGGAGAACCGCAGTGTGGGGAGGCCCTGTTGAGGGCTGCCTCTCTCTCTCTCACATGAAACATTTTTTAAAAGGAGTTTATTATTAATCCGATACCATTATCTAACCTATTTGAATTTTGCCGATTGTCCCAATAATGTACTTTATAACTTATTTTTGGGGGATTCAGAATTTAGCCTAGGATCATGTATTGCATTTAATATGCATGTGCTTTAGTTTCTTTTCCTTCATGAGTGAGGAAGAGAGGCAGAGACAGGTACTTCTGACAGGGCCTCGCAGTGGCACACCCCTCCTGGCTCAGCCTCCCAGTTAGTGAGGACTGTCGGTACATGCAACATGCCCAGCACATGCAGCTGACCCAGGAGCCAGACCTGGCCTGCCACGTGGCCTCCAGCCTCCTAGGCCGGAGGGCCGGAGCACCACAGTCGCTGGGCTGTCTCTTCTTAATCTACATCAGTATCTTGTTCCATCTTTGCCTTTTAGACAGTGGAGTTTTGAAAGTACAGGTCGGTTATTTTGTATGAGGTCACTCAATCTGGGTGTGCCCGATGCTCCCCTCAGATTACATCCAGCCCCGAGTTCTCGGCAAGAACATACGGGCAGCGATGAACCCTCTCAGTCCGCCACTCCCAGGACAGTGCGGGCTTCTCCCCTAGGAAGGCACCAGTTTCCCTCTGGCAGTCCGGTCGTCAGTCCTTCAGTTTCTGTGAGGGTCTTGTTAATCCCTGGCTAATGAGATCCTTCTCTTTTGATGCAGTCATTCCATCATCACCCTTGTCAACCCTAGCCTTGTGAGTGCCACCCAACCTGCTGCTCCAGGGCCTCGCTAGTCACTGGCTTCATCTGCTGTATACCTGGCTCTGACAAGCCTCTCTCACAGACTCCAGGATCTGTTATGTCTTCTCTCTCGCCGTTTCCTTTAGTTTGCTATAGAGTGTGTGCGTTCATCAGAGCGGGACAGTGAGAGCGAGAGAGAGGGAGTGGGGACTAACCCCAGGGGGTGGCCACACCACAGTCCCTTCTCTCTCTCCTTTTTCTTTAGTTTGCTATAGAGTGTGTACTCATCCGAAGGACAGTGAGAGTGAGAGAGGGCGGGAGAGTGGGGACTAACCCCCCAGGGGGTGGCCACACCACAATCCCTTCTCTTCCATTCTCTCGGGATTTGGGGCGTGCATGCATGTACACTGGCATTCTTTTTGAGCTGTCAGGTCCAGGACTCAAACCACACAGCTAACCATGTGGATCCAGCCACCTTAATCTCCATGCCACCTGTAGGCCTTGTGTTACATCTTTTGCAAGAGGTACACGGCTGTGGAGAGCAGCTAATTTAAAAACAGGCTAAAGGAAGTTACAAGTGTTTATAAAATTATCTTTCTGAAAAGATTAGAGAAATTATATGGTGCCAGTTATTTTCCTTTAGCCAATACTGGGCAGAATGGGGGTATTAGGTATTAATAACAAAAAGACAACCGTTAGCAACAGGCAAATACTGCTCTCGTATGTAAATGCCTCTCAACAGCCCTGCTAAAACACCTTACAAAAGCACATTTCTATGTGTCTACAGGCCACCTGTTTTAATCACCTGTTTTCAAATTAGCTGCTCTCCACACACGGTCACCATGCCCCTGATCTGCACTGCATTTGCACTGTACTGACAGAATCTATCATGTCAATAGAGCAACAGGCCCAAAAAGAGATGTCAGTGAAAGGCGGGGACAAGAGCCAGGGTCACTCAGGGCACTGCTGATACTCCTCACCTTCCGATGACTGCTTACACACAGCCTGATAACCATGAGGACTGCCCTACTACCAGTGGAAACAAAGTAAGGTGAATTCTTTTGGGTAGTGACTCCAGGCATGTATTCCTCGTCCCTCACAGTCATAACCGAGGACAACGCCCACTTAAGCAAACCAGTTAGAATCTCTTGCGTAACTATTGTTCATCACAGTGTCCTTTCTGAGGCTGCCCTCACAGCACCTCTCTGTGAATGAAAGCTCCTTACCTCTTAAAACATGTTGGTAACTGGACAACAGCAACTGCAGGTGCTCCACCAGCTCATCCCAAATCTGCCATTGGGTCTTATCGGACTGTAGAGACAGTAGAAGCAATCGGAAATAAATATCTTCTCCAGACACATTCTCTGTGCAGTTTTCAAGTCACTTTTTTAAACTTTAATTTTAGCCATTCATTTATTTTTTTAATTTGACCAGAGACAGACAGAGAGAGAGAGAGAGAGAGAGAGAGAGAAAGGGACAAAGGAAGCCACCAGGTTTGGGACTCGAACCGTGGTTAGCCATGTGGGAGTGTCCAGCACCTTAACCCCCACGCTACCTGCTGGTCCCATCAAGTCACATTTTTTTTTAAGAGAGATTTTTGCTATAGGCTGTGTGCATTCGCCAGAAAGACAGAAAGTGAGAAATCACCCCCTGGGGGATGGCCATGCTGCAATCCCTTCTCCTCCAGTCTCCTCTAGGGATCTTGGGCACATAAGCACACGTGCCCAGTGTGAGTTTTAAACCGCCAGTCTGGGACTCCAACTGAAGTCGACTACACAGAAGTCTAGCAATGTAATTCTTATGCCATCTACTGGTCCCAGTTTTCAAGTCACTTTTACATAATGCTTAGGCAGTTGTGTTTCAAGCCATAACCCCATGGGTAATATTAGAGAAATGGTGTTCTTTTTTTTTTTTTT